GGAAGAGTGGAAAATCTGCGCTTTTAATTAAAGAATCTCTCTGCTTGATTGACGCCTTATTCAATTCAATTCAAGTTTATTTGTATAGCGCTTTTCACGATACAAATCGTTGCAAAGCAACTTTACAGCAAATTAAGTTTCTACAATATTTAGTGGTAGCTTATCAGTGGTGACTGTCAGTTAACGTACACATGGCAGAAATGTACGGAAAAATCCGTATTTCCAACACTACCAGACTCTATCTTACCCATTCTCTTTCACAACATAACAGACAGAGAAAATAAGAAGAATTGGAAAAACTCAGAAGAAACTGAGAAAAGATGTGACACCTTTAATTATTGGAAGTCTGACACTTCTATTCTAGAACAAGCCTCTAGAGGAAAACACTACAGTAGATCGGTATGGAGTGTTACAGATCTCTTATTCTATATGTCCTTAAAAACACCATCATGGTAACACACGACACTAAAAAAATGCAATAAACATGAATTTAACAACATATGTAACACAATACCCAAATGTACACAACTGATAAGAAAAAATGAGGAATAAACCATCAAATGTGAGGTGAAAATATAATTTCTTTCACCAAAATAATTTTATAACAGTTTTTACATGATCATTGCTATAATGATAAATATTTTGTGTTATGGAGACTATATGTCTACTGTTTATAGTAAATCCAAGACTTTTATGTAAAAAGAGCATGTTGTTCATTAAAAAAGGCACTTTAGTCATTTCAGATTTTAGTTTCAAACTATGTGAGGGGTGTACTCACTTCTGTGAGATACTGTATATATATAGAAAGAGAGAGCGCAAAGATAATTAATTTGGAGGAACACACAGATCTCCTTTTGTGAATGAGATTGAGTTGGTGTGGAGATTGACAGGAAGACATGGGTCTAAATCAGCCAGGCTTTACTACAGACACACACTGTGCAAGAGACATGAAGAAATATGTCTTTAAGTTGCATAAAACATGGCGTACATAAAATATACAAAGTATTTTACATATTTTAATGCACATAGCTCCAGTATGCTTATTGATCAATACAACGCTGCATATATGATGAAGAAACAGCTCTTTATCTATGAATCTATTTACAATAAACAGCATCAGTCAGATTCTGGAAATGCTTCTGTTGAAGTCATCAGTGAGTGTAATTACATCTTAAAAAAAAAGCAAACTTGTGTTTGTTTGCTTTTGCTTTTTAAGGCAAATTCTAGGTGATGAGCAATACTCTCCGTAAATCTCAAAAGAAAGCAAGCCACCAATAATCGCCATAAACATAATTAAAAAGTATTTATTTATCATTTTTAAAATGATCAGAATGCATCAGGCTGCATAACAAATAAACACACAAATGCATGCAGAAATTACATTTCTGTCATGACAACTCTCCTGTGCCATGTGATAATGATGTCATTAGATCAGATTGAGTTAGACCTATCAGACTGCGCCATCTAGAGTTTCATGCCAGAACTCTGTATTTGATAGCAATTTGACAGCAGATCTGGACCGGAGGACTAACTAAGTGGAAATGTTCTTTTTATAATGCTATGTGTGATTGTGTGTGCATGATTAACCCTTTTCAAATGTGTCAGACAGTGTCAATAAACACAATATGTGTGTCGACACAAGTTGGACCTGACATAATCTATGATCTGCATCCATTTGCTGTGATATAACCTGAGCATTTAATTGTACATGGACTGCATGTATGTGGCATAACGATCCGTCCTGCCATCCTAAAGCACACATATGCACTAACACTAACATGTATACGTTAAAGGGGTCATATGATGCTTTTTTAAAGATCATTATTTTGTGTATTTGGTGTAACAGAATATGTTGACATGCTTTAAGGTTCAAAAAACACATTATTTTTAAAATACTGTACATTATTGTAGGTCCTCTATGCCCCGCCTCTCTCAAACGCTTCGTTTTCTACAAAGCCCCCTCCTTTGACAAGCGCAGTCCGCTCTGGCATTTGAACGGTCAATAGCAAATACTTAAACTAATAACTAAACAGTAGCTGATTCAGAAGCGCCAGATTGTCATAGCAAAGTCAGAATTACCTCCTCTCCTAGGTTCACGAAACGGTCGTCCATAAAATGCATTGCTGTTCTGTTGTAAGTAATCTTAAAGATTCCTAAATGCATCTACTTTCGGAAGGCCAAATAAAGTGCTTTTGCTTTCGCCTAGAAACACATAGGGTCTCCCCCTGACATGCTGCTTCAACACTAACTGCGGTTACTGAAACCACGCCTTCTTTCTTTGCGTGAACATTTGGGCGGCATTATGCTAATATTTCCACATAGTGAGGTAGATATGTGGGGGCGTGTTAGAACGAGCCGTTTTAGGGGGGCGTGGCAGAGTCTTACCTTTGATAAAGAATATCTCTTTGGTTTTGAGACTTTAGTCTTTGCAACTTCAGGGATCTTATCTATGCACAATCAGCTTGTAACACTCCAAAGAGAAAGGAAAACTTGAAATCGCATCATATGACCCCTTTAAGTGAATATACACACACAAGCACAAAGTGATCTGACAGAATCAGGTCAGTGACCACACACCCCAGCCCAAAGGAGAGGACACAGGATGTGTGTCCTAAATAACCTTTAGTGACCTCCACACAGCGTATAGACAGCAGACTGTCGCATATACAGCAGTCTCTCATGCATCCGCCTTTGAAATGGTAATTAATGGCACACGTTCACAAACATACCCGTAGGAAAGAAAAAATGTGATCTCTTTATCTCAATTGTTTCTACTAGACAGCAGTGACCTTACATTTTCTCCTGAGAAAAAGATGCCAATGAGTTATATATGAGATCTCTAAAGATCTACACGACCCACAGTCTGAAGAAAGATCCACAAATCAAAGAAATCAATTTTACTAGAAGTGGAAATCATTTCTGATTTAATTGTGTAATCTACAGTGATGTCTATTAGATATCATTATTAAGATGAATAGTCTCACAATAAATGATGTCACGTACCTTTGTATTTTTGATCTTTAAACACGTTTCTGCTTGTGATTCATGGTGGAGATGGTTGGATTTGGTTGAAACTGGTTTTTGAACTGCAGTACCTGTGAAGAAAATGAATGGAAAAAAACCCCAAAAAACATCCGGAACCAAAACTGCCGAAAAGTTGGTGGGTGTTCACTGTCCTTTATATGAACTCAAACATTTCTCATCAAATTCTTCCAAGACCAACTGATCTGAGGCTTTGCTGTCACATTAATTTTGCAGCTTGTATTACGTTTCAGCAATTGTCTCAATTGTTTTATTTCTCAAAAGGGATTACTGTTTTCCAGTTTAAAATATCTAGAAAAATCTTTAAACAAGAATTATTTCATATTTTTTAATTTATGAATTAAAAAAATGTCATATTTTAAGATTTTTTTTAAAAGAATTATTTCAATTTCATAGATATCTATACTGTTATCATATTTTGTCATATATTTTGGTAGATTTTGTTTTCCCTTTTTCTAACTTGTTTATACTTGAAACAGGAATAAATCCACCAGTGCATGAAGACAAAATACATATGCACCAACCCTGTAAAGCCTGATTTATGAAAGAATAGTCATAAAAATCAAACTATTCCAAATGGAAGAGTTTATTGAATCTTTAGACAAAATATAAAATCTAAAAAAGTTTGCATATGTGTTTTTGCATACGAGTATCATATCCGATGGCTCATTTAGTATGACATAGGAGAATAAGAAGCTCGTATTCAATTTTATACAGAGGCTCAAACTGAGCAAATATATGCCATTTGGTGCAGTTGCTTATATTTACAGTACATGGACAAAAATGGAAAAAAAAATGGAATTCTGGTTGCTTGTAATTGTGACAACGAGATGCAGTTTAATGTAAACCAATAAGATCTTTGAGAACAGTATAGCAGACTACGTACATATCAGTTGTCACTTTATATCTCTATAGTCAGATGTCTTAGTAAGATGAAAATGAAATGCTTAGTTTTATGATCAAAGTTCGGTACTTTTTATTACTTTGTTTTTATTGTGTAGACAAAACACATAATGCAATGCAATAAAATTATGATTTTTGTGATGAACAAATAAATGTTCCTCAAAAACTTGCTGCGTCATATTTGATATACATACTTAAAAATGATTTCTCTAAAAATGATGTGTGGACCTTATCAAGCCTATAGTTGCTTCAGTCCAGTAAGTGTTCATCTTGAAATATTACTAACAATATAAAAGCTATTCTTACATTTACTTTACAAAAATCATTAAAGATTTCACACCAAAAAGACACATGATGTGGTTTTCGAATGATACTGGCTAATACAAACGTATAAACTAGACAGAAGACGTAGCAAATTGTGTACGACAGGTTTCAAGTTTTTGATCATGTTGATAATTTAGAGGCCTTTTAAAATTTGGTGAATATCAAATATGATACAGTAAGCTTTATAGGGTTAAAGATACTGTTATTTCTCTAAAAACTAGTCTTAATATCTTACGCGTTGCCACTTCTCAAGTAAATTAATCTTGTTTTAAGGATTTTTACAGCTATTTTTACTGAGAAGAAAGTCAAAAAAGACGAATTAAAAAACTTTTTGCAGTGTACTTGCATAAAACATAACTGAGAACTTCATTAAGATTGCGACGTTATGCAACAGCAGCCTTCACACATTTATACAACAGACACTTTCATTTAAAGTCAAGCTATACATAGCATTAGTTGATGTGTTCACTGAGAACTGAACCCACGACCTTGACGCTCTACAGGAACCTCTGAGCTATAAGACTCATGCACGTCCTTCATTCCCCTTTACTCGCTGAAATTAACGACAGACTTTCTCCTTTACTGTATAATCACATGCACTCATCTCTCTATAAATATGCTGACTTCCCTTTTACTAACGCACCCCTCCTCCTTGTGTCCCTCTCTGTCCTCTTTGCTCCCTCGTTCCTCTCTGTCCTCCTTCTCCTCCTGTGCTTTCTCTCTTCCTTCAGAGCATAACCACCTGAATAATGTCATGCTTCCTCCTTTGAGTCCCGCAATGGCTCTGTCCCAGCCTCACAGCAACCTGGGCTTCAACAAATACTCCTCTCTCAAAACCATGGGTAAGACGCACGCACAAACAGCTGTCACATCTTGTAATGCACACCATAAACGCCACACATGTTCATCAAGGTCACTTTACCCACAACCACTGATTACCATTGCAAATCATTCGCAGTGTCATTGACTGCAGGGAAAACACACAATGCAATCACATATGCAAATATCACCTCTCAGATCAAGAGGGAAAAAAAGCCTGACATGTTACTAGAATCACAGGCGGGCGTTCTCGGGAGCGTGTACTGTACACATGCGGATATGATAATAATGGACACAAACACACGCTAATCAATCACAGCATGACTCCAAACACAGAGGGGCCTGTTCACTAAACAGCCACACTAGCGTTCGTTCTTAGCGCATTACCCCCGAGACACATACCCCCGAGAACTAGGGGCTGATGGGAAATCAGTTGAAATGTACTAATGTGTTCTATACATGAAATTAAGGAAAAATATACACCATATGCTGCTGGAACAACAGCATACAAAAACAGATTCAAGGACACTAAAGCTTAGATTTTCATAGAATATTTGAAAATATACTATTTTATTTACCTGGTTGTACCAAGAAAAAAAATTTAAATAAAAAGAACTATAAAATCATAAAATAAAATCAATATAGTTCGGTTTGGGGTTGGTAAAGTTTTTTTTTTTTTAAATGTTTTTGAAATAAGCCTTTTATGTTCACCCAAGGCTGCATTTATTTGATCAAAAATACAGTAAAACAGTAATATTGTGAAGTATAACTACCATTTAAAATTGCCGTTTTCTGTTTAAATATATTTTAACATGTAATTTATTCCTGTGAGCAGTCATTACTCCAGTCTTCAGTGTCACACGATTCTTCAGAAATCATTTTAATGTGCTGATTTGCTGCTCCAGAAACATTATTAATTATTAATGTTGAAAACCTTTTTTTCCAATTCTTAATATTCTTGAAATATTATAAATATTTTTAAATTCTTAATATTTTTGTGTAAACAATGATAATTCTTTTCAGGATTTTTAAAGGAAAGAAAGTTCAAAAGAACAGCATTTATTTGAAATAGAAATCTTTCGTAACAATACTCTAAGTGTCTTTACATGAACTTTTTCTTTACATTAACTTTTCACCAATTTAATGCACCCTAGCTAAATAAATACTGAGTATTTTTTTATTTATTTTTTATTTAAATTGTACTGACCCCAAATTTTTGAACGATAGTATATACTGCAAATCTTCTTTCTAGTGGTTGGGAAGCTAATTTGAAACTAGTTTGCTACGCTTCAGCATACAAACACATAATTTTAAGTTGTTTAACAAAATAAATGAATAGTAAACCTAAAATGTATTTTCTATTATCATTTACTCACCCTCCACATCTTTTTGTCTTTTGTGAAACAAAAAAGAAGTCATTTTAAAAACTATTAAAGTGCATTTAATTTGCTTAACTATTCAAACTATATATGATTGTTTGGATACACTCTCAAAATTAAAGTCCCCTTGAAATCAAAATTAAAGTTTTTTGGGTGTTAGTATCAATATGTTAGTCTTAAGGTTATCTATAAGGCAGTGTGCTCCAAAACAGTGACAAAATTCGCATTTAGAAGATATATGCATTCAAAGCTTGCATTCAAAGCTTGCATACTTCAGCTTCTCATCAGCTGAAATCGGTCACTTGTCCACAGAATTAGTATTTTCTGTACAGTGAATGGCACGTAGTGCACTATATAGGGGACAGGGAACGATTCAAACCGTGTAAATATGCTTTCCACTGAGGAAAAAAAGAAGTCTGGTTTCGCGCTGTGTCACGCTAACCACCGGTGCACTCTGCTCCGGTCCAGAGACACGATAGCACGGAGCGGATCACATGCGCGAGTCGGCGCAGACTAGGGTATGTTGAAATATTGGTACGCATTGAAATATGAGAGAAATAGTAGATGTGGTAAAGAGGGGAAGAGATGGTAAGAAAGGAAGAGAAGAAATGGACAGAGAGGCTGTTGGTACATTTACCGTCTGTTCATTAGTTAGATACATATGTTCACTCTCTGAGCACTTCCTGTGTCTGACATCATCAGGCCGTTATGTCACATTCTCTCCTGTTGCAGTGCCTGAATGCCCCTGAGGACCAAACACACACACACACACACACACAAAATGTTTTTCTATCATTTCATTGACTACTATTGTATTTATACTGAGGTAACAATGTGTTCAATATCCTACAAATATATTTTTATATATAATAGTCTACAAATGCATTTTCTTCATAAAGTTCCAAAAATGAAGGCAAAATGGCCCAAACACATATGCACAAATGATAAAATAATTACTAGAGACTAACCATAATCCTAACCTTTGCACTAAAATAAAACTTACAATTTTTTTTTTAATAATGATAATACTGTATATCTCTGTCTAGATAGAATCTTTTTCAGGCTAATTGTGTGTATATGGCATAAGTGTGTGTGTGTGTGTGTGTGTCAAATCTGTTCCTCTTTTGCTCATTATCAGGGTAATACATCTTGGTGTCCTTCTCTTTAAACACACTCCCTAAATAATTCATGCTTACTCAATGCACACTGCCCACATTACCTATTCACTGGACCTTCACTGGAAGTCGACTGAATTGTGATTCTTTAGTTCCTCTCTTCTCCTTCAAATTCAAATCAAAACACTCTTGAATTAAAAAGCACATGAATGTGCTAATGGATGTGCACACTTAAAAACATAATATGAGCTAATCTGCCTGTCTAACCGCATTAGCAAATTACTGCTTGATTCACTATCTACAGGAACAAATTAACATCCTCATTTGGGTAAATTTTGTCATATTTCTACACACAGATTTTGTAACTTCTTCAAACACGTACGACGTGTTGTGATGAGACATGGCTTTGGCCCTCAGCATGTTGCAACATCCTTAAAAACCCTTCGGGTTTCATTCTGACCTTCTAAGCTGATTGTAATACTAACCGACATTCACTCATGCACAACTACAAACAGTGAGCTTGTCCGTACTGATGCGGTCAAAAAGAATCATAACAGTAGCTGCTATTGCCAAGTTACCACAGTTTTACTTTAGTGACTACAGTATTTTGGCAGAAACAATGATTGCCACCGGGCCAGGATATACTTTGAGATCACATGTATATATACAATGAAATTATGCTACATGCTTGTGTTCCTTGTCAGCAGGTACTTGCCTCATGCATTAGCCATAACTCAATCGATAGCGAGAAAAGACAGTATAGGAAGTCAGGATGGAAAAGAAGAAAAAGGAGACAAAAATGACAAAACAGTGAAGCAAGATTGTTTATGTCTGAGGGCAGTGAAGCGAGTGGCCTGTCTATAGCTTGCAGCACTCAGCGGAGATGGGCTAATTTGACGAGACTGGCTAAAAGGCTAACTCTCCTCTGTCAACTATGCTAACATGCTAACCCACTTCAACCTGCAAAAGAATAAAATAACCAGCCTGTCTTATACCATTCGTAACCCTGTACGTAAGCCCAACACATATGTACAGTGCCTTGCGAAAGTATAATTTTTTTTTCACATTTTGTTATGTTGCTGCCTTATGTTAAACTGCTTTAAATTACTTTTTCTCCACATCAATCTATACTCCATACACCATAATGGTAAAGCAAAAAACTGTTTTTTAACATCTCTGTACATTTATTAAAAATAAAAAACTTAAATGATTCCATTGCATAAGTACTCATACCCTTGTCTGGGACAGTTGAAATTTAGCTCAGGAGCATTCATATTGCTTTTAAATGTTACTACACGTCAAGTGAAGTTAACCTGTGGCAAATTCAATTGAATGGGTATGATGTGGAAAGGCACACATGTCTTAATAAAAGGTCTAACAGCAAACAACCAGGACTCTTCCTAGAGCTGGCCTCCTGGACAAACTGAGGAACTGATGGAGAAGGGCTTTGGTTAGAGTGATGAACAAGCTGATGGTCACTCTAGATGAGCTCCATGATCATATGTGGAGATAGGAGAAACCTACAGAAGGACAAACATCACTGCAGCACTCCACCGCTTTATGGCTGTGTGGCCAAACTCAATCTTCTCCTCAGTTAAGACACAGGAAAACACACTTGGAATTTGCAAAACAGCACCTAAAGGACCCTCAGACTGTGAGAAGCAATATTATCTGGTCGGATGAACCTCAATTCCAACCATCATGTTTGAAGGAAACCAGGCACTGCTCAGGTAGAATATTTGACATAGTTCAATTTCATGTGAGATGGATGCCCTTAGTAAAACTAAAAATTGAATCAAGTTCAATTTAGGGATTGTGCCAAAATAGGATAAGCAGTAAACTATTTTATTAGTAACAGAATAGCAAAGACAACATAATTTCATAGAAATAACAGCTGCAACATACTTTGCATGTGTGCAAAAGAATAGCTATATGCTTCTAGGTGTTATATCGTAGCCAATGATCCATTATTTGGAACCTCAATGAAACAGATTTAAAAATATGTGAGCGGAAACACAGAAAGAACTGCTTTGAAAGAACTAGAAGAAATAACTGCAAGCATACGCTATAGGCCTACAGACTGATTTACAACACGTGAATTCATTCATTTATCCCGAAAGAAATGGAAGTGACATGAGTGCTTTCAAGAGGGAGAAAAATTGAATAGCCTATATTTTATAGTTATATATATAATACCCATTTTGTGAAAGAAACACTTCTTCAAATTATATTAAATGATTTTTAATAAATTTACGAAGTTGTGACAATTCTGTCTTTGCTTTGTCAATATGGTGTATGGAGTGTAGATTGATGTGGGAAAAAGTAATTTAAAGCAGTTTAACATAAGGCAGCAACATAAAAAAACGTGGAAAAAAAAGAAGGGGTATGAATACTTTCGCAAGGCACTGTACCTAACTTTTACCAAGCCACTGTAAATATCACTAATCAAAATATTACACACAATAGTGCATAATAATTATAGTTCTGCATTTATAACTGCAGCTTCTGTAGTGAGATTACCATAGTAAACACCAGGTAAAACTGTGGATCGTTGCTCCAATCAAGTTTAAAACATTTCACAGAAAGTGCTTTTTGGTTTCAGTTGGGTAATGTTGCAGTACAATGTTTTAAAAATGTTCTAGAACCTGCTTCGTAGGTTGTCCTTGTACCTCAAAGTGTCAATATAACACATTTTAACCATACAAACAAAACCAGATCAAACTGCAAACCATTCTACTGTCTCCTTTCAACTATGTGAATCTTCTCTTCACTGGACATTCCTTGCATTGATCCTTTCAAACAGAGTCCTGCCTATATAATTCATATTTCATCATGACCATGATGTGAACAGCCACAGCTCCCTAAAGTCATTGTATGTATGTGCATGCATGCATGCATGTGTGTGGCGTGCCGTAAAAAAGAGCTGAGGGCATCCTCATGTCACACTTGATGACCCTCTGCTCCAGGTGTTTTACTCATTAGATCCTCTAAACACTAAATATAGTCAAATACATTAGGTTTGTACACCGTAGGGTATGTGAGTGTAGAAGCAACACTATTAAATGAACGTATTGCATATTTGTCACAATGTTAGCCTTTTTATTTCTAACTGTTAGTTTTTTCCTGCCCTTTCTCTCTGCAGATACTACAGCAAGGGATTACTACCCCAAGAGCTACCACATGATGGATTACGCACACCGCCAATCCTCGCCTGCAACCTTCCAGCCTATTGCTTTCCACCCAAAAGACAAACCCTTTCTTCCCCCTCCGGACATCCATACTCCTTTGGCCATCACCATTACGTCAGCTCAAGTCTCCAAGCCCAAGATCTCCAAGACTAACACCCACCCACTCACCTCGAGCTCGGCCTTCAAAGTTTGGGACCCCAACAAGTGCCATGTCCAACATCAGGTCCCTCTCATGATGCGGCCACAGCCACCACTGTCCCAACCAAACAGTCGGCGCCAGGCCTTCTCCAACAAGCGTCAGTTTAGCATCGAGACTCTTCCAGAGTTGTTCACTCAGCCTCTGGGGTACAGACAGTCTCCGCACCTCCACCCAAAACACAAGGGACTGCCCACGAACAGCAAAACAGAAGTGACGGTCTGAGGGGAAAGCCTGGAAAGGATACAAACACAAGAAAGCCTGATTTCGATAAGCTTCTACACATGTACTTCAGTTATATTTATAGTATATTTCCTCCATGTATTTGTTTTGGACTAGATTTATATTCATTGTTCTATAATACAAAGAACTGAAGGGGAAAACGTTGCATGGTCTTGATTCCGATTCTTCATGGGCCTTGAATCCCTGGTGATCCTACCTCCCCTCTAAAATTCTGGCCTGATGTTCACGTACAGCTGGCCTTCAGATGTCTCTTGTGGCCCAGACCCTTGTGTCCGATACCAAAGGACAGGAGCCTTGCACCTCAGGAGCCTTCACACCCTTCTGGACAAGGCCATTGTGCTGTCAGCTTCCATCAGCCAAGAGCTGCCACGCAGTGAGATATTATTCCGACAATTCTAGACCACTGAGGACAAAGAACAGCGAGGAAGCATACGGAAGAGGACAGCGAAGAAACCAAGGTGCCCCGTGAGAGGGAAAGAGAGTTTCAAGTGTTGTGATGTCTAAGGGTTTGTTATTTCAGTCAACGGATAAGGGTCTAGGTGAATTTGACAAAGTCCAATGTCCCTAGGTCTCTTTACCTCAACATCATCATCAAAGGATGCATTCCAGCACTTGTCCAGAGAACGAACTGCCAACATCAAGTCATAGCTATTCTGGCTGTTTCTATTTCAAACTCTTGTTTGAGACACAGCACAGGTAAAGACAAGGTCGATAAGCCAGTCTCTGTTACAGACAGAACTCAAGAGAGACATTTCAGGGGACGACAGTCACCCGCAGAGATGAGGTGCAATAGTGACGGAGGAGGTGAACAAATCCGGCAATGTCATAAGTAGCATTGCCAAAACAACTTTGCTAAATTGACTTGTGTGTATTCTTTGCAATATCTGTCAAACAGCCTGCTTCCTTTGAATACTGCTGAATGTAAATAATTATCCTTTTGGTGAAAGCAAGAACCTTTTAGACCGATGATTTGGTGGCGAAATCTAGCATGTAGCAGCAATACCTACACTCTATTGTAGCATCTTAATGGGCATGGGAAATCTGGTGGTGGGCATCAGTTTTAAAGTGAAGAGTTTAGGTGTCTTGAGAGTTGCTCGAGAGATCAAGGAAAATGGTAGCAATACTAGGCCTATCCATCCTCTCCTGCCTGGGGCCAAATGACTGATGGACACAGCTGTCAAACTCACTCTCTCTCTCTGCTGTTCCAAGCTGTTCTCAGCCAGGCATTTGGCTGCCACACTGCCACCGAACAGCAGGGGGCGCTGTAATTGATGGCGGCCTGCTTCTAATACAGCAGATCCAAAATATGTTCTCCCATACTGCCTGTAGACACGTCTTTCTTGTCTGTCTTATCTTTTTTTCATTGACAACGGATCTGAATGGAGAGTTATGGTTATTGCTCAAAGACAAAAGGCGAGACCACAAAACAAAGTTTTGATTTTTTTATGCACCAATTTAAAGAAGACCCGCAGAGATGTCTGATGATAACCTCTTGCTTCTTTACATAACAATAAAGCATCTGTTTATCAAGCAAACGGTTGTGTCTAAAAAGTAGCACACTTTGTTTGAACAGCCTTGTGAGATTTTACAGGCCAATGACATCTGATGTACAAGCCACCTATAAAATGTACAAGGGACTATAAAAGAGTGTGAAATGTTCAATGGAACTGCTTGCAAATAAAACGGCAGTATTGTGAGAGACAGAAAAGGATTATTGAACTCGGAAGGAGGAGGCAACGCACTCGTAATGGTACAAAGCGTTCCCTTCTAAACACTAGATCGCATTATAGTCATTGCAGTACATGTTACGGCAGTTGGGTCTGTAATGAACTATAAAAAAAGGACGAAAAACAAGTAGCTCTCTCTCTTTATATCCTCACCAGCTTTATTTTGGAGATAATTTCTACTTGTGGACCAACTCCAGGGACAGCAGTTCCAAAAATATGACAACAATTACAGTTACAGCATGATCCTGGATGGCTATTTTCAACCGTTGAATTGATGCGAGGCTGTATCAACATGCTCTCTTGGGTCAGCATCGAGTCAAACTATCCTGAGCTACAGTGATGCTTCGTTCTGTTTCGGTGGCAATGGCTCCAGGGTGTCATTGGGTTTCAGGGGCAAGCCCTGGAGGACAGACATGGCTGTCAGACTCTCCTGGCACAGAGATATCAAGCGATGCCAAAGTGAGCCAGCTACACAGCCCTCTGCCTGAAAGGGAGCCACTTTGTTGGCCAGGAGGTCATGAAGTCTGTCTTTGAGGAATGCCGGAAAAGAGCAGAGCAGATTTAGCTTTTGACAAAACCACAGTGACAAGATCTCTGGCTGGATCAGCTTAAACCCTAAATCAGATGAGGACTACCGTCCAGGAATAAACTTGGACATTAACTCAATAAAGCGCTGGATTGGTCAAATAACTACTTAATTCCACAGTTTAAGGACTATAAAGTGAAATCAAAAGAGGTTGCGTGCATTCACATCTGTTACAAAGAAACACAAGGTGTAAATATCTACTTTCGAATTCCTTCGGTGTGAAGAATCATTTCCAGTGGTTATTTTAAACCACCCAAATAAGCTGAATGACTGTTGTTTCTGATTTCTTCTTAAAACGAAAGCGTTCTACCTGTGATGTGAATGCCACCGGGTAGCATTTTATCTTTAGCAATACATGATGTACTTTTTACTGTTTATGTACTATTTGCAATGTCGTCTTTTTGTACCGTAAGCGTAATTGGAATCAAAGTCGAGCCTGCCGCAGTTGACAACCATTTGACGGAGATGAAGTGCTTCCGAATTTTAACACCCTTCTCACCTTCCTTACTAACTTAAAAGATGTCTTGCCATATTTGAAGCTTGCGCTATATGTATAAAGCCTATCATTTTTAAAAGACGTATTATAACCAATGCTTGAATGACATGTTAGTTGCCAGTCCAGAGACATGTAATATGTATATTGGAGAATCACATTGTTCCCATTTGTTTGGTGGCTCCATTCGTTTGGTGGTATGTTTGACCGATCTAATCTTATGCACTATTCTAAGCGGTACCTTTTGTGTATGTATAATTAGGATGAATTCTACTAAGGGCTTTAAAAGGAGGCATGTGCTCTTAATAGGAGTTGCCTGTGCTCAACATGGAAAGGGTTAGTTTTTCCCAATGCAATGACAGGGAGTCCAGTTGCTTGTGTCGGAGTGGACAAAGTTTACTAGGGTAAACTATAACAAGAGGTTGTGAAAGTGATGCTCTGTCCTGTGATCAAATTTTTTTTTTATTCTTTTGCCACATCACACTCTGTGTGTGTGTGTTTATGTATTACTCTCCATCACAAAGCAAAAACGATGTTCCCTCTTTGAGAAAACGGGACTTTTCTTGTTTGAACCTGGAAAAGATATGCAAAAACATGTTAAGGACATATGAGAGCTCATTACAGAAGTGAAAAAAGACAACTGCTCTAAGTTTGAACTTACCAGCATTAAAGGAAATCCAAAGCCAGCTACAGCAATTGCAGGTTGATCCTAATTAAAAGCCACTGGTTGCATCATTGATAAAGAGAATGACAGGAAGACTAATTAGGCTTGTCTGTTGACTTAAACAAGGCCAGTTATTTTACAGCAACACTAGCATTGAGAACTATCTCCGGTCATGTTTCTTGTGTTTTACATGTTTACAAAGAGCAAAAAGTTAAATATATAAATATTGTGTAAAAATGTATGTATATGATGTGAATATAAAGCAGCATTAGTTCACAGCTTTTCACAACTACAAACACAAACTAAAGCTGAGGATTTGACATTGTAAACACAGTGTTTTGTGTAAATTTCCCAAAGGCTTTTCTAGGTGCAGCCAGCTCACACTACCCCATGTCCTAACTAGGTGGATTGCAACACATTTCCAAGTAATTTATTTGTCCAAAATGCAGTGCAAACATAGAAGTGACAGCTTGGTTTATGGAAATGTTATTTCCCAAAGGTATTTAGATTAAGTGTTGAACTAAACATACATCTCAGAGATCATTCAATCAACATTTAATTTGAAGCAAAAAAAAAAAAAAAAGTATTTTAAATTTTAAAATGGGAAAAAGAGACTATACTTTCTTTTGAAGCAATTAAGTTCTCATACCAAGAAGCATTGCAAATGATGTAATAAAATGAGCAATCAGCAAACAGCATACATAAAACTTTATTTACATCATCAGCCGGGCTTTGTGGGATCACTGGGAATTTTACTTCCTTTTGCGCTCTACCAGAATTTTGGACCAGTAAGCAAGAAACGTCTCAGGTTACTTATGCAACACACCTAGTTCTCAATTCGAGAAGGGGGCTCGACCTACAGCAGGTTCCAATGCTGGAACGGCTTAGCAGTAGTTTACCTTGGCTGAGGGAGTACAAACCCAGCTCTCAATGAGAGGGGGCTCGAACTGCAGCATGATTGTAAAATCAGAAGGGTAAGCATACTGCAAGCTAGCCAAACACTCAG